GATTTAGCCGCTTGTTTTTGGTCTACTGACCAAAGTAGTAGTTTTGGTAGTTTTTTAGTTGAGTAATATAATTAGGTAGGTCCCTGAGTAGATTTAGCCGCTTGTTTTTGGTCTACTGACCAAAGTAGTAGTTTTGGTAGTTTTTTAGTTGAGTAATATAATTAGGTAGGTCCCTGAGTAGATTTAGCCCAGGGCCCCACAAATTCACGATCTGCCCCTGAGCGTTATCGTTGTTTGGTTTGTTTAATTTGTATTCACAGAAAATCAAAAAGAATCTAAAGTTGTACAACATTTTTTTAAATGTGCATCAGGTAAATTTTTTTTCATTATTTTTAGCTAAATCTGCATTACGTATTAATCTTACAATATTATTATAAATGCGAAAGTTTGTCAGTGTGGATCGATAGATGGATGATTGTATGTTTGTTACTCTTTCTCGTAAAAACTACTGAACCGATTTTGATGAAATTTTACACTAATATACATCAGAATAATATAGCCTACAAAATTCATGCGAAACTAAGAAACAAAGTTTTTAAACGCGTGTGAATTATTTAAATTAGAATATTACAATTAGTTTGCATGTGAGTGAAACCGCGCGCACAGCCTGTGGTACAGTAAAAAAAGCATTTCCAAATTGCTTATAATATTAATTGAAATAACGATTATTTTCTTATGTAATTTAATGATATACTGACTTTCCATTTGATGGTAAGTGGTAACTGTCATTTATATACATGGTCAGTATGTAGTATGAATCTTATTCTGTAATTTCACAGACTAATCTTACCCTACAACTGAAATACACCTTACAAAGCATGCTGCTAGAGGCTGAAATAGGCGACTTTTACAGTCGGGTAAAGATTATTTCTCATCCGTCATACTCGTGAACGAGTCCTGCTTGTAAAGACTGATCTGTTCTAATCAATACAACTGATTTAATCTTATTTAATTACTTAACTAGTTAATTGTGTATTTAATAGTTTGATTCTAATGAATTAGTGTTAGTTGTTAGTTTGTTCACACGTTTCAACTTAGAAACGTAAAGTTACAACAATTATTTAAAACACAAGCAAGTTTCCTTCTCATTCTTACAGATTCCGAATGAGAGGTAAATTAAAAAAAAATATATGTATGACAATTCAACATTGCGTATTTAAGTTCATTTAAATAAAGAATTTCCTATTTTATTTAATTCTCGACATACAAATACTAAAATATAATAAAGGAACTTCTCTATTTGAAATAAAAAAAAAATCTTTATATGCCGACAGTACACCGGCGACACTGACCTACAAAGACGGCACTAAATATCGACAACGGGCACTCTCGCTTTCTTTTCCATGTGTCCGCGAATGCGTACACAAACATACGGACGCTCTTCGCATTCCTTTGCATCATCCCGCTAAATAATTTCACTATCGAATCGATATCTTTGTCATTGTACAACACTATTTTGGCAAAATGGCGCCGAATAATAGAACATAAGAAAATAATTTTTGCATTAATCTGTGTAACAATTTGTTTCCAACACGGAATATTTGTTAAAAATACATTATTAAAGATTTTTCCGCATATGCAAGAATGCCACAATACAAACAAAGCAACTTTTCCGTGAAACTGTGCAGATTTTTCTTTTTAGAATCATTATAGATCGCTACGTTGACTTAAATTTGATTCAGTTGTCTAATGATTGGTGCCAATAAAAAAAAACTTAGTGTTCCTCGATTACACAGCAATTAATACTAAGTTTTATTATAATAGGCAGAAAGTGTAGTTTGATTTTTATTGTAATGGATGTTTTTTTTTCCATATTCGTCCATCTCCTTTTCAATGATGGAACAGGCAAAGATCCTTAGATCGTACAGCCTTGTAATGGATACTTTAAAAAAGTAGTTTATTTATTTACAGAAATATACCTACCTAGTTTATTATCAATCAATATAGGTTATATTACATTTTCAAAATGGTTAGCGATCCCTTGTACAGGAAATATGTCATATATACATATGATACTGGCTTTTATGTATGTAAAAAAATATTAGTTTTTTTTAAATAAAAATAGGACAAAGGACTTCGACAAGGCCAAGGAACTAAAAGGATATAATCAAATGGCTGATATTGTAATAAAAATGTTATACATTCTTGTATATTTAACACGTTCGTATATATATACTACTTAATAAAAATATTCAATAACAATTACAAAACTACATTAATCTGTATATTAACAGGTATATAACGTATAAGAAAAAGAAACATGTCATTCAACAATTTACCGCCAAAAGTTGTAACCATAGACAAATCAGTATATATTTTCACTAAACGTGTCTATGGATTTTATGTAACACACATTTAAAGAAAAAGGTGTAAATTAAATTGTCTAGCACTTTGGACGTTGACGCAATAATTAAACAGTTTTATGTAATTTTAACCTCAAGTTCAAATGTCATTAGTAAATTTATAATGTAACATAATCGAGGTTTACTATTAACATACTGAGCATCTTCCTGTTTATCGTATTTGACTTATTTAGCAATAGAAATAAATAATACATGATTAATATTATGATATCATTTCGAAAACCATTTGTCAATATTGCTATTCGCCTATTAAAAGCGATATTCACTAGACATTAAAGAGTTTTTTTAATTAAACACTAGCTATACCCGTGACTTCGTCCGCGTGGAAATTAACTTTATTTTACTAAAATAAAAGTAGCCTAAGTTACTCATTATTACATCAGGTACCTGCCAAAAGAAGTCGCGTCAAAATCCGATCAGTCATTTCAGAGATTAGTCGAAACAAACAGACAGACAAAAATTGTAAAAAATGATATTTTGGTGTATGTACCGTATTTATATTCATGTGCAAGAAGTAAAAAACGGTTGTTTCAATATTACAAACAGACACTCCAATTTTATTTATATGTATAGATGTGATACTTAATTAAAAAACGAATTTACTATTGTGTAATATTTTACGAAATTGGAATTGTGTTGTACCTTGAGATAAAGAAATTTAAGACCAACTAATTTAGAAATATTAATTAAAAATTGTGTGACTAGAAATTATAATATAATTCAGAATATAAAGCAATCTGCAATTAAAAATGTTCTGTTCCTTTTTTGAATCTTTTTACTATTGTGTAATATTGTTATAGAATTCGAAATTGGAATTGTGTGGGGTTTTTTTACAGTACATCCATGAGATAAGGAAAATCTACACAGGTCACGTGGTATCAAAATGTTCTGTTCCTTTTTTGAATCGTTTCCATAACATATTAGTTATTGAAAATATTTAAAAAAGGAATATTTATAAACGAATTTACTATTGTGTAATATTGTTATAGAATTCGAAATTGGAATTGTGTGGGGTTTTTTAAAGTACATCCTTGAGATAAAGAAATTTACACAGGTCACGTGGTATCAAAATGTTCTGTTCCTTTTTTGAATCGTTTCCATAACATATTAGTTATTGAAAAGATTCAGCAAAGAAAAATAATAATAAATTCCTTTTTTGAATTTCAATTAATAATAAACTAATTTACTATACTTTAATATTGTTATACAATTTACAATTGGGGCGATTTTGAATAATCAAACGTTTCTTTAGTATATTGTGTGAGTCTTGTTTAGGAGTAAGTACATCCCTAAGGAGCCGGCGGGAGGTGTGTAACTAGTAAAAATATAAAGAAATCTACACAGGTCACGTGGTATCAAAATGATCTGTTCCTTTTTTTAATCTTTTCCATAACATATTGAAAAGATTCAAAAATGGAATACAATAATAAGTTCCTTTTTTGAATTTCAATTAATAATAAATTAATTTACTATTGTGTAATATTGTTATAGAATTAGCAATTGGCGCGAATTTTGAATAATCGAACGTTTCTTGTTTAGTATATTGTGTGGGTTTTTTTTAGTACATTCACGTAAGTATACCGTTTTTATGTGACTGGAATTCAATTATGGTTTCCTTATAAGTGTAGTATGTCTAGACTAGTCACAAATACAGAAATCGACGTATAAATTTAAACAAAGCAGACGAGTACGAAATAAAGACATTATTTGTGTTTTTTTAGTCTGTATCAGATAAATTTTACGAAATCGGGCCTTGAAAATTTTTCGTTCGTCATTAGCGAGTCTGTGACACATTGAGTACAGACAGTAACAAATCCATAGAGAATTTCATAATAGCTATTGAGCGTGTTGTCTTAGCCTTTTGTTAGGGCAATTATTTATTTTCAAGAGCAAACAAGCTCTGGTTTGTTTTCTCTATGGTATCTTAATAATGTCTATATCTTATGGTATTTGTTATGGTATTCAAGTGTTTTGTAGACTACAGTAAATGCTTGTTTACTTGTTTAATAACTTTATGGTTTAATGGACAAGTGGCCATAAATATCCGAGTATATTAAAAATACTTTTGAATTTTGTACATAAAAATGTGTTAAAATCATAAAATAGTGACATTACATAATCAGTCAATGGACGACAGGTTTTTTCTGTGCGTTTTTATAGATACCTATAGCATAAACATTTCCTAAATATTTGATCAAGAATAGGTACATATATTATTCATATATATTCAACATATAGTAGCATTTTTAATAAATAAATTATCTGTCTTTCAAGTGTAATATAAATAATCTTTTTCTAACAGGAAATAGTTCCCAAAAAATTTCTCTGGCTACACCATTTTTGCCAAATGCGGAAGTTTGTGAGTATGGAAGGATGTTTGTTACTCTTTCACGCAAAAACTATTGAACGGATTTTGATGGAACTTTACAGTAATATAGGTTATACATCAGAATCACAATAAAGAATTATTGAATTTTAAAAATCACTCAGGTGAATATTTAATGAAACGATTTTGATGAAAATAATTTATAGTAATATAGCCTATGCATCAGAATAAGATATAGGCTATAGTTATTATTGAAATTTAACTCAAGTGAAACCGCGGGCACAGCCAGTGTAAATATACTAGAAACTTACCTTGAAGGACCTGCTTGCCCCAACCAGTGACAATGCACTCTCCAGCGCCATTGTAGAACGCGTCCAGGGTTTCACCTTCGCCCGGCAGACAGATCGGCAGGATATTGTTAGCCAGCCGCAAGTTCTCCGTGAGTACCAGGATAGCAGCGTCGTATTGGAGATTTCCGCGTGTGTACAACGGGTGGCGGAGGATATGCTTCACTTGCACGATTTGGAATGGCAGGGGCTCGTCATCTATTCCCAGTTTCCATTCACCTCCCTTGATTAAGACGTTCTTGGCGTCAAGTCTGGAAAGGATTTGGTTAGGTTACTTCATAGGATATGTCCTTTGGAAAGTACACACTCTATCCTAAGAATATTAGAACTATTATTCCTAAGAATATCTTTGGAATGTACACACTTCATCCTGAGGAGGTGAAAACTATCGCTCCTAAGAACATACTTCAATTCTTGTCCCTGACGGGCCTAGGCAGCAAACTCCAGAGAAAGGGCGAGCACAATAGATCTATATAGGTCGCCGTACTACAGGTCGAAAGCACAGAGTAATAGCTCAAACGCCTTAATAAAAAAAAAAGTTACTTCTTTATTCATGGAAATATACATACAATCATACCCATGAATGAAGATATTTCTATTCCTAGAGAATCGAATCCGTGACCTCAACGATCTCAATCGCAAGGTGTGCTCAACCACTGAACCATAGGGGTCGTCAATATCTACTGACAGGTTGTAACAAGTGTTAAATAATAAGTAATAATTAACTTACCCCTCAACGCAAGCGGCTGATGTCAGAACCACATCAGGTCTTGTGATAACTCCACCACACAACAAGCTCTTGTTGGTCTGCAGGAGCACCATCGCTTGCCATGGGATTTCGGAGAAGTCTACTTCCAGTTCGTTGCGGTTTCCGAACGGTTTCTGACTCTAGTATCGAAAATATATTTGTTAATATTTACATTGAATAAGGCAGAATGGCTTTTGGTCGTAGCCCATCATAAAATATAAAATAAAAATATTTAGACCATAGAGTTTCCCGCCAATTTCAGAGTTATATTTCCCGCCTATTCGCGTCACTTATAAGAATGAAACAATGTTATATAAAACTATTCAGGCATTTTTTTAATAACATATCAACACTACGCAGGTTATATAAATTTAATTTTATCTCATCTATAAGGTCATCTCTCTAAAGTCTAAACGTACACTATCGTACCAATCAAGTAGGTTACCAATATGCCATGAATAAAAAAAAAATTAAATTTTATTTTGTAATTAATCTTCAGAATTGTTAATTAATTAATTGGATAGTATTTTTATTACTTTCCAGCAGCAATTTTTTTTTTTTTAGAATTAATTATAATAAAAGTCAATATAATCTATGATTCACATACTAGGGATGTGACACGAAGGTTAAGTGTGATTGATTATAAATATAAACAATAAACTATCAGTCGATAACGATGCCGTGTTAGTTTTTCCTTGCCATTTCACGAAGGTCTTCATAAACACAACCGTAAAAGATGTATTGCAATAAAAGCATGTTTAAAACGGCTTTATTAATTAATTATTTATTGAATGCAGAGTTATTAATATTAGTAATATTTATTGCAAATCAATTCGACATAATCGCAAATTTGAATTAATGTCGCACGCAATTAATATGCATGAAGAATAAACATGACATATTTTTGTGTTCACTGTGAGTTACTACGGTGTATTACCATCATTATTACATAGTATAAAACAAAGTCGCTGTCGCTGTCTGTCCGTCCCTATGTATGCTTAAATCTATTAAACTACGCAACGGATTTTGAAACGGATCTTTTTAATAGATAGAGTGATTCAAGAGGAAGGTTTATATGTATTTTTTTTTTTTTTATATCATAATTTGAGCGCGTTTGACCGCAATCTCACCTGATGTTAAGTGATGATGTGGTCTAAGCTGTTACACGCAAGCTCAAATAATGCCTATTCACTCATGACTTAAAAGACCCAATGTTGTAAGAGGCAGGAAAAATAGACGCTGGTAGAGAGTTCCACTCCTTAGCTGCTCGCATAAGGAAAGATGATGCAAAACGGTTAGTTCGAGCAGCTGGGATGTCAATAGTGTATAATACATGTACACCCGTGCAAAGGCGGGGCGAGTAGCTAGTAACATTTATGTAAACGGAGCTCTTTTTGTGCTCTCCGCAACATATATATTTATATATAAAAATTACGTTCAGTAGTTTAGAAGTAGCGGACAAACAATGTGTCACGTTGTTTGTCTAACTGTTACTTCTAAACTACTGAACCGATTGTAAATTTGATTTGCACATTGTGTGCAATTGGATCCAACTTGAAAGATAGGATAGCTTACATCTCAATTTATAGTCGCAATATTATTTTAACCTTAGCCACAGCAACGCGTGGACGGGTCTGCTAGTATATATATATATATGCTGCTAAGTTTATTCATAGGCATGTGGCAAACTTTTGATAACGTTTCAATTGCTCTCACATGCTATTTTTCTCTCGTTTTATTTCACGATATCTTTTAAACAAATCGGTGTGTCACATGTCCAGTAAAACACTAAATTTATCAATTTTACCAGTATAGGTATAAATAATTAGAATTTTTTTTTGTTGTTTTTTTATTTTTTATTGTATATTTACCATTTAATTATTAATGTAATTAATTATTATCAAAGAAGCATTTTATATTTTATTTAATAGACTAAGGTTAAATCAGTATGCTTAAAAATAATACAGACAAATATAAGAAATAAATTAATTATACTCTTTGGATTTCGGATCATAACGGATGTTACGAGGTATCAATTATCTTCAAATTATTCTAAATGCACAAACATGAATTATAAGCAAACTATTAGAAATGTTAAGAAAATCTACTGACTTTGTATATTTTGCAGTTTGTTACTAAACAAAATTCTGAAAAACGTAAATATGAACAATTTTCATTTAAAACAACAACAACACGGTAGTTTCTTGCTCGTTCTTCTTGTGATGAATATGCGTTCTGTATAAGTGGTACAATAAAAAAAATGACTATTCAAAAATGCTTATTTTGAGTTTTTTTTTCTTTTTTATGGCAAGGCATTGAGTTTATTTGAATACAGATGATTTCTATTTCTTTCAATCAGTCTGTGAACATAATGTGTAACGAGTGTTTATGTCAACAAAATTTATATCGATTTTGTATTCATAAGAATTTCCTAGTTGTTATATATTGCTGTCTCGTTCTTTCTAATGCATATGATTGGGATATAATCTAATGATGGATGGATAGGTTAACCCTGTACTTGTCTATGGTCTTAGAAACAAATTAATTATAGATTTGTATGACTATCGACACCGATCTCATCACTACAAGGCATAGATAATAACGTAACGTTTTTTTAATGACGCATTGTGAAACATTTTGAATCTGTGGTCAGTTTGTTAAACGTCATGTTAGCTAATGCTAATCATTTTTTTATCATTAACATTGTTGTTAATGCTGATATGATTTATAATAAATTTATCTAAAATTGGAATCTTCATTTAATTATAGTTTATATAACATTGTTATAATGTTAAATAACAATTTTCTTACTTACACATCTGAACATTCACTGTTGATTTGTATGTATGTATATGTACCTACGAGTATATTTTTCATATTTATAAATATTGAGTATATGTGTAATTATTTATTTAATATTATGTATTATATATAATTATGGACTAGTTTATAATCTTTGTTATTTTTTTTAATTGTGATTTTAAATGTATACCAATTTTTTTTTTATGCACTACCCACAGATCTTCGCTCAATGATTGACTGGGAGAAAATATCTCATGGTGTTAAAAGTCCACCATATGCATCTATATTTGTGTATTTGTGCATAAAAGATTTAATAAATAAAATAAAACATTCAATGACTTTAGAAATAGTGAATAATAAAATCTTATGTTGAGCTAGGGTTCTGTACCTACCACAAGAAGAATTGCGATAATTTGTATAGTGAATCCAATTTATTACGATAAAATTAATTACGTATTTTTTTTATGTCATTTTTCAAATTTTTGACGATTGTTATTAAATTATTAATATTAAACTTCTAAAACGATTTTATTAATTGTTAAAAAATATCGTTGAATTGAAAGTATCACAAAGTAAAATAGAATAAATACAAAGGATTAGCTGCTTTCCTTCTTTTAGAAGTTTAGTAGTAGAGTTGGTAATATATTTAAAACATTTTCTTTTCATTTCTGAGAGAAAAAATAAAAATCTTGCTATATTATAGACGTAAACGTTGTGAGGAAGGTTGCACCATCGTTATTCTTTCAAGCTATAATTACTCTACAGATTCGAATGAAATTTGGTACATTTATAGATCATATTCTATTTTACCATATATATTTACCATATAAATATTTTATATTCGAATTAAAGTTGATAACGCCGCGGATTTCAGTAAAATATACTTACATTTATAATGCCACATTGTCCATTGCTGGTGTACTGCTGTAGGAACACCCTGTATATGACTTCAGTGTACTGCTGCTCGATGGTGGACCCAGTCTGTGATATTCCATAAGACCCAACACCCTGTCGGATACCAGTTCCAATGCCTTGACTGACGCCAGTTCCTACTCCTTGGCTAACACCGCTGCCGAAGCCTTGAGTCACTCCCACACCCTGGGTTTGGGTGACGCCCTGATTGACACTCTGGCTGACCTCCGACTCGCTTTCCTGGGTGACCGCGAATCGAGAGCCCTGTCTGACTCCAGACCCAATTCCTTGGCTAACTCCAACGCCAATTCCTTGGCTGACTCCAGTACCTGCCCCCTGTCGGATACCAGTAACTGTTTGCCCACTACCGGCTGCCTGGCCGTAATTGTTTTGGGTCCTGACAGCGTCCGCTTGAATCTATTAGGGACAAAATAATAATAATAATGTTATCACTTCCGGTTTTACGAGATACAAGATGGCGGCGTATGAACAGTGACTCGGACAAAAAAGCCATTATACGAGCAGCCCGCGGACGGAACGGACGAGACTTGCGCATATCTAATAATAACTGTATTGCGTATAGAGAAGAAGTAAAAAAAGTACGTTACAAAAGTATTTTATAATGATCGGACTTCTCGCATTTTTTTTTAATTAGAATGCTAACAAGCTGACCATCCACTTAATGGTAAGTGGTATACATATGAACAGCATTACAGATGTTCGTTATCATGTGACACCCATGGTACAACTCATGCATGGACATTCCACAGACATTCGTCCCCATGCGCTAGAACCTAAGTGGTCTCGGATGATATCAGAGAAGCTTCCTCTCGCGTACACTTAGATTATGGAATGAACTACCTGCCGAGGTTTTCTCGAAGAAGGGTATGTTAAGGTTTCTTAAGAGTCAGCAACGCGCACGTGACACTCCTGATGTTTCAGGCATGCATAGGCTACGGTAACCGTTTACCATGAAACGGTTCTCATGCTCATGTGCCGCCAAAATTTTGTGGAATAAAAAAAATATTTGACGGCTGAAATGGATACGAATAAGGTCCACACGCAGGCAAATTTTTACAAAGTAATTCTTAATGATTACAGGGATGTAATGCAATAGTACCCTTTTCAAGTAACTGATCTAGGTTATAAAATTTTAGATATATCAACTTACCGAGCCAACGGTATACTGTTTGTTTGTTTGGTATGAGCCTTGTCCTTGTCTCACTCCTTGACCTTCTCCTGTATAAGTGCCTTGACCTTGGCCAACCACAACTGCTTGACCCTGGTTGTTGCGATTGAAGTTCGATGTTTGGAATTGCTGAGTGGTCTGTGTTACTTGGGAATCTAAAAGAAATAAAAACCTATAAAAATACTACAGATAACCTTAAAAGATTACTCCTTATAAAAGTCCTAAATCTAATTCTTAGGATATTCGACTTAAATTCTTCAGATTAAGATTTCTAAGATCATTGTTTTCGGACTACTTTAATGTTGTTGGCCGCAGCTGGCCTTTAGAACTTCACCGGACGATAGGGGGCGAGTGAAGATGGCACTCCGAACCAAAGGAAGGACTTATGGAGCGGCTGAAGGCCAACTCCCGGCTGACGAATACGACTTTAGTCTGAGGGCACCGCTAGGGCTTCGAACCTCGGCTCAGGCTGTCATAATTTCTCTGTTTGAAGATCATACTAAAATGTAAAGTGGTTAGAAGAAGCATTCTTGGTAGTCACGACCCTCAGCCTTGAGGAATCGACAAAGAAGTAGAAGATTAAAGTGTTTTTATTGAGAATAATGATGAAAACACGAGAAATTTTCTCCAATAGTTCTGTCTGATTGTACAAAAATAATATATACACAAAGTTGAAGATAGCAAAGAGAAAACTGTCCAATTTTTCAGAAGCCAAACATCTAGTCATCTAAATAAATTTTGTATTGCTATTTTAAAATTTAAAAAGCCTATACTGTAGACTGTAGAGTTCTAGACGAAAACATAGTAAAAACTGTCCAACTTTTCCCGATGTATTTAGATTATTTGAATCTAATCATCTAATAAACCTCTGTTTAAGGCTAATTTATAATTTTTAAAGAAAGTACACTGTAGAATTTAATAGGTTTTGTCATGAAATCTGACAGTGAATTTAGGATTAATATCGTTCGTAGCTATAAACGTAAACATTACATTTGTCACTTAATTTGCAAACCTATCAAATTGATTAACATTTATAAATTGAAAGATGATCGTAAATTCGTCAGTTTCATGTCAATTTTCGCACTAATTAATGTTGAATTTGAATTGCAAATATAAAGTTTATGTTGTATTACACCATCGTAAGATTTTATTGAAGCGAGTGTATGTAAGCTTCATACTAACTTTTTAGCATTCAAATTCTAATTCAAAATGTCTTTATTCATGTAGGTCTATTATTACAGACTCTTATGATATGTCAAATCTACCGTCAGTTCGAAATGCTTTCGAGATGAGAAGAACTGACGAGAAACTCAGCTCGTATTCTTTTCAAATAAATGTTGTACATGTTTACAATAATACAGATTCATTTAAAATCAAATTTAGGAGAATAGTGTGTCCACCGAGTCCATTGTCTGAGAGGGAAACTTCGAGCAGTTCCCGGGACTTGTGACCCGGGTGTAGGTGTAAAGAGCCCATACATATACTAATATATTATATGTATATAGTAATATCGTAAATCAAAATCTATTTAACAGCACAAAGTGTTTTTTTTTATGTTTTTATACTACCCTCATCTGTTTTCTGCGACATCGCCTTTATTGAGAAAAACGCTAGCCCATGTTCGTTGTGATACAATATATTTTTATGCCAAATGTCATTAAGCTTCAGACCGAGGGGGGATGGGGGATAGTAATGTGAATGAATAACCCCTTTGCTAGCAAGCTTTCATGTTAGGTTGACCGCCACGTGGTTCTCTCTAGAAACCATCATGTCAAATTCTTGCTAAAGTCACGATGTGCTAATTGACTTTAACCTCATGCTCATCTTATCATCCCTTGCTGGTGCCAGAATAAACCGTTTGCGCATGCGGGTGCATCATTCCATTAAAAAAATTAACTATACTTTATGAGTATGAATCAATAACATACCTTCACGCTGTCCAGACAGAGAGACTTGTCCACTCGCTCCGGCTTCGAACTGGCCTCTACTTCCCAGGTTGAAGGAACCTCCACCACCTTGGGAGATCTGGCCGTTGCCAACGGTTGTCGAGGTCTTGGAGAATCCAGGTGTGATTTGATTGGGTCCGAACGGTGTGGGTGTCACTTTCTCCCTATTCATTAATTGGAGAAAAATATAATTTTAGGTCTTTTGATCTTTTCTCCCTATTTATTAATAGCAATAAAATTAAATATTGGTATTTTTTTATATTTTCTCCCTATTCATTCTTTGGAGTAAAATACAATATTCGTGCATTTTGATCTCTCTATAATATTATTTCTAACATATAATTTGGTGGTGGTGGTGTTAGCGGGTTCGATTTTCGCATGGTGCAACATTTGTATTCATGAGTGTGATTGCTTGTACAGTACATTTTAAAGATGTTTGCCCCGTGCGAGGAATCGAACCTGCGGTCAACAAATCCAAACTCGACGTTCTCAATCATATTTGTTTTACGGTACCTGTACACTGAAGGGTTGTTAGGGCTGCCTCTGTTATCCGGCACGTATTTTCCGTTATTGCCAAAGAAGGTATCATTCCATTGTCCCAAAAGATTGGTGGGCCATGGGTCGGTGTAGTTGGGGTCTCTGCAGCATTTGCCAATAGTGCCAGTGCCTAGATCTCTGCAGTCCTGTTAATGTCAAATTAAATAAAAAAAATCGTAATCGTAATGTCCAATTAAATAAAGAAATTTTGTTGAGTTTCTAGCCAGTTCTTCTCAGTTGATTCTCAAATGATACTCATCCAGATCTGTATCAATTGAGAATCAACTGCGAAGAACTGGCTAGAAACACAATTGAATTTATTTTTTCTTAAGAGCCTTTTTATTTATATATTGTAACCTATATATATAGGTGTCTATGTCTAACATTAAAACCCATGCTAAAACAACTATTGAAAACCAAAATATTTTTAATACCATAGACCAATTAGAATAACTCTACAAGGTCTCAATTTGGTTTAAATTAGATTTGCTATACGCCAAAACTTGGTGACCTCAGACAAGACTTCTAATCCGAGAGTGGATCAGATCAGAAGAAAAGGAGGTTGGTACTAACCGTGAGTGGTACTCTGTTGGTTTTACTTTGATTTGCTATATGTTAAAACCTGGTGACTTCATACAAGACTTCCAATAGGATAGTGGATCATAAGAAAAGGAGGTTGGTACTAACCGTGAGTGGTACTCTGAAAGCATCCTGTTCCTTGGTGAGGACTACTGGAGTGGTAGATATAACACCATCGGCTGTACAGTATTCGACTGCAGTACACTTGAGGGCGGCTGCGCAAGCGGTGGAGATGTCATCTGTACGGGAAAATCTCATATTGTTAATAGTTATTTGGAAAATATAATAGAGAAATTACTTTGTGTATTTTTTTTTTTATTGAAGGTTTTGACCTATTATCAGGTGGTAAAACCTGTAATACTGCGATCTGCATAAATCTATTGTACTCGCCCTTTTTCAATGTTCGCTTTGGTAGTGAACATTGAAAAAGGGCGAGTTTTGACCCGCCAGGGACAAGAATTAAAGAATATTTTAGGAACATGTTTTTTATCTTCTCAGAGTAGAGTGCATACTATCCAAAGGAGATATTTAGTTTATACAAAGTGTGCTATAGCCGCATAAGATGTATAATGGCGTTTCCAAGAATGGCAGAAATCGAATCATTGGAAATAAGGCGGTATGGTATATACGCCACCGAGTCAATAGAAAGATAATAAAACAATAAGAAAATACAGTGAGAAGATCTTGATGCTTGTCTGTTACTATTCATAAGAACTTGGGAATCATGTCTTTAAACCTGCTAATTCATCTGCCAATCTCTTCAACCATGAAGCGATTGGCAGATGAACGATGATGATGAAAAACTAGTTGATATCGAGAGAAATAGCAGTACCTAATATGAAAAAAATACTTACTGATAGATAATTGTGGTGCACGCGTCGTTTGCTGATTTCTGTAGATGTCCAAGATGAGGGAACCTTCTCTATCTTGGTCTGGAGGGAGATAGGTAGGAGCTGAGGTGGATGGTGGTCGCGGTGGTGGGGGAGGCAAGTATGTAGGCTTAGGAGTGGTTAATGGTCGAGGAGTTGTGGTCGTGCTCGGGAAGACAGTCGAGGGGTACAAATTGGAAGGTTGGTTCTTGTTATCCACAGGGGGTAGGTACGGAATACCCGGCTTCAGACCAGAGCCGCTTGCGCCCGGTCTATATACCCCAGCATTTTCGCTGCCCGATGAGAAAGAATCTGTCTCAATGAAGTTCGATTGGCTCGTCGATTTGTATACTTCGTTGTTAAAACGGTTCGTTGATGATGGAACTGCTGTCGAGAATCCGAAGCTGCCTGATCCAACTCCTGAAGCTGTAACGCCTTTAACGGAACCGGAGTTTGCTCCGAAAGATGAAGTAGATCCAGAGTTGAATTGACCAGCGCTGCCGAAGGAATTGGTTTGGCTTAAGCCTAAAGCGTTGGTCTGTGCTTGGCCAGAGTTTTGGCCGGTGGCGAATAAGCCGGAGCCCTGGTAGGTGCCGGTGGCGGTAGGCGGCTGTCTCCAATCTGCAGCATATTTCTGTTCGCACGTCGCAGTATTGTTTCTGTAACAAAGAAAAATGGTTTGAGGATTCATTTAAGATAATGAGGCTAATTTTAAACTTTGATCGAGTGAATAGAGAGAGATCTCTCTTACTTTAAAGATAGAGTTAGTGAAATCATACATCAATGATGTAAATATTTAATCAATGTTGAAGTAGATATAGTTTTCTACAATGATTAATAAAGCTCCATTGATTTTAGAAATACATACCTACATTATGAGAATTTATTATCATTTCAGAATTGTTATGATTTAATTAACAGTAAATAACATAGATTTTACAAAACGCCTGTATCAAGCCTACAATGTATGACGTGCACTGGTAATAAATAAAGAAAATACTAGCAACAATATCATTCAATAAAATGCCGGTCACCCATCCATTTTACAACACCATCTTACGTTGCTTGACCTCATTGATCGATACAAGCAAATGATCATCAGAATTTATAATGTATTCAAATGGATTCATACGTTTTAAGATAATGAGCCGCTGATGCCGATTTTAAATGTTTATATTTCAGTTTAACAGGCATTTTGACTCTTCTGTTACCTGATAGAAATAGAAATAGAAATAATCTTTATTCAAATAAACTCATTACAAGCACTTTTGAATAGTCATATTTTGATTCTACCACTCATTCGGAATGCAGATTCATCACAAGAATGAGCAAGAAACTTGTGTGTTGCGCTTTTTAATAGATGTTTTTTATATAAATAATTACAGTATAACAAGTAAGAGGCATGCGATAATCAACATAGAAATCGCTATCGATAAATATTCTCTAGAAAGAGATAGTGTAAATTGTTGAGAAACTCTTTTATTATTAATATATTTCAATTTTATTTTCTATTCTCTAATCGATATACTAAACAAAATACATTATATCTGTCTGTTTACTGTATACGATCCTGATTTACTGTTACCATTAAAATATATATCAAACTGAATAATTGTTTACAATATATTTTAGAACATAAATTACTCAATTGAAAGGCAATCTTACAAAGATTATAAACGCGATAGTTTGTGAGTATTGATAGATGTTTGTTATTATTTCACGCAAAAACTACTGAACAGGTTTAGCTGAAACTTTACAGTAACATAACTTATACATCCTAATAACATATAGGCTACAATTTTAAAATGTAAATAGGGCGAAATATTATGATAAATGTCAAGTAAATGTGATGAAGACGAAGTTACACAGAACACCATCATACGACGATGGTAAATGGTTATCGTAGCCTATGGACGCCTGAAATACTAGGTGTGTCCCGGGCGTGTTGCCAAGAAAATAAAGAAAGTAAAGAAAATAAAGAAAATAAAGAAGTGTACGCGGGATGAATTTCTTCTGAAACCGTACTGTCCAAGATCACTTAGGTTCTAGCGTGTGGGGATGAATTCCCTGTTGGAGGCGAGCGGTGCATGATAAATGATCTGAATGTAGAATTACAAAATGGCGACCACAAGTTACAATCTCCTCCGATCGATACCCGTTCCAATTCAAAGGGGGATTGAAATTACGACGACTGATACAAGGTTCGAAACTAGCGGTGCCCTCAGAATAAAGTCGTGAAGCGGGAGTTGTCCTTCAGCCGCTCCATAAGTCCTTCCTTTGGTTTGAAGTGCCATCTGCAATCCTTCAGTGAAGCTGTAAAGGCCAGCTGCGGGCATCAACATTAGAGTAGTCCGAAAAAACCAACTTACTAATCAATTACCAAACATTAATAATTGCATAATAAGTGATTATAATTATACATTACTGTCTACTAACCGTTACAAAACCTATAACCATAAATTGATACTGTCAGAGTTGTAACTTCTGAATTTAACGATGCAATTTAACTGCAAATCTGATGATATTTAGAATGAAGTATTGGGCCGCTATCACATCGATGACCTGTCCTGTTAACGCCATTTGTAACCATGTACAGGGCTGCCAAAATGTTAACCTTCCTGGCTTCATTACATAGTATAAAACAAAGTCGCTGTCGCCGTCTGTCCGTCCCTATGTATGCTTAATTGTTTAAAACTACGCAACCGACTTTAAAGCTGTTTTTTTAAATAGATAGAGTGATTCAAGAGGAAGATTTATATATATAATACATGTGCGAAGCCTGCTCGAGTAGTTAGTTAACAAATATAACGGAAAAATTAACAATGAGTAATTATAAGGTCGATATAGATTTGTTGCTTTTGCAAATAGTATATGCTAGAAGTCACTCTATTCTCCCAAATTTGAATTTAAAAATCAATCTGTATTATTGTATATAGCATGTGCAACATTCATTTGAAAAGAATACGAGCTGAGTTTCTTGTCAGTTCTTCTCATCTCGAAATCATTCCGGACTGACGGTAGATTTGACATATCGTAAGAGTCTGTAACAGACCTACATGAACACAGATATTTTGAATTTGAATTTGATAAGTATTTGATCAATAATGATTTTTATTATTATGGTAGAATCGATAAAGAAACTTCAATATTCAAAAAAAGGACTACCTACATTAATAAACACTTAGTGACCCGTCTCGCCTTTGATCGGTCGCTCATACATATATTTTTAATTTATTCAATTGATGCTACATGACCAATATTATAAATAAATACTTTTTTTTGTAAATACATAGAAAACACCCAGACAGATACAAACAATCATACGCATGAGTCGAACCCGCGACGCGAAGCAAAGCGAGACGTGCTAAACCACTATACGACCGAGGTTGTCATATCTGTTCGTTAATAAACATTACGTAATTATTATTGTAATAAAAATTACATAATTTATCACCTTTACATATAAGTATTATATATATGTACTTTCATTAAAATACATTGTATTAATAACGCTAATGAAACTCAAAGCTCTATAAAGTTATTTCGTTGTATACTAGATATATACTTATGTAATATGAACACATCGTTTATTTATGACTACACTTTGTTATTACATATTTAAACCTATTTATTTTATATTAGACATACATACAATAAATGTATATAAACTTATAATACTTAAGTACTATTTTAATAAAACATAAATTACTAAATAATTCTTAACAACCGTATCAACTTATTTATTTATTTCAGGTTATTTACCATCTGATTCTTCCTTATCCCATTTATTTGTGGTCGTCGTAATATGTTCTTCTCTTCCATTCATCCCTGTTCGCAGTCATCTCGTTACTGACTTCCTTTCCAGTCTATCCATCTCTTTTTCGACCTTCCCCTGCCCTTATAACCATCCACATTCATATGTAACATCTTCCTTAGGATATATTCTTCATTCCTACGCATTACTATTATGTTTTAGGCTACTAATGTTTCACATTATAGATTAACAATTTATGTACGTATGATTACATGTTGAAAGCATATGGATAAAGTATTGCAATTGATACCACAGAGTAATAATAATAGTTTTATAAGAGTTATAACTGTTTTGATAAGAATGTAGCGTAAATTTGATAAATACAATCATCTTAATGTGTTCTAAAAAATATTATTACAAAAATCTTGTACTTCATAAGCGGCTTTTTGAAGCGCTTCATGCTTTTTTCTTTGATTTGAGGACTAAGTATCTTTGTATCCTGTAATTTCACTGCTTCCAACTGAATACATATCACAAAGGAAGCAGCTCGGCGGCTAAAATAGGTGAGACTGATGAATCACCTATGTTTGGGAAACTACTCTGCTACCAAAATGTTAGGGAAGCGTCAGTCATTTACCTTTATGGTTCTGCGGATTTCTTGGGCTTCAGGGTCTCGAAGGTATCTTCGTTAGCTTTCCAGCTTCACAGTAGGTTAACACAGTTCTAATTTATTTTAATTCACAACACAATGCGCGCGCGCGTCAAGGCCGCTGTACGGTCCGTTTGTTACTAGGTGAGGGAGGGGAAGGCAAAGCGCGGGAACACAAACTAACGGACTCTAATATAATAATCTGTGCTTACGATGATACCGGGTAGATTTTGAACAACCTATATATACCGTTTCATCATCTCATCCCGGAAGACGTCCCTGCTGAATAAAGCCCCCTACCCTTTACCATTACCATAGACACCGTTTACCGTAAATAGGCCGTAAGCTACTCTGTCATTATTTCAAATTTTTTGTTTTTTTTTTCGGATTCGGCCGAAAATTTGTAGTTATTTGAAAAAAAGGAAGCTATTCCATTTTTGAACTTTTTATTTAAATATTTCTGTACTATTGATAGCATATTGAAACTGTACAGCGATATACAGCGTGGACCCGGTAGAACAAAGAAGTTATAGGTTATTTGATAATGTAATATCCTTCCATGTCACGTGGTGTCTTTGACAGACTACAAGTCGTGGCTTTATCGGGTCATCTGCATACACTTTGCAGGACATAGATACAAGTAACTTTTCCACGCTTCTGTACGAAATGTCAACCAGACTCCGCCCGAACCAAAACTGTATGTCGTAATTCCTGGCGCTTATCACACACATATTCAAATATGAACCTTAAAAACTAGTAGTTAATGTCAGTAATTTATTGGCAAATAGTTGATAAACTTTAGCAATGTAGTGATAAGCAACATTCCGAAGTCAAACATCGAGATTTCATTTGGAAATAGAAACAAGTATGAAATTATAATAATATTTATACTATACTAGTTGTTACTCGCGACATCGTCTGCTTATTTGGCTTAAAAAGGTAGTCCAGATTCATCCTTGTAGCACAATATACGTTACATATCAAGTTTCATTAAGATCTATTCAGATGTTTAGTCTTGAAAAAGTGACAAACAAACATACGCACTTTCGCATATATAATATTAGTAGGGATGTTATGATATTTATAGGGTCAGGATGTAGTTTTTTTTAATAAATAATATCTTAATTTGTGTGGAATCTACAATGAAACATATCTTTAAGATTCGTTGAAGCAAACTCACCTAGACAAGGCTGGGGAGATATGGCCACGTAATGAGTCGAGAAGACTATATGATCAAAAAGTCTTGAACCTTAATA